CCCCCCGACCCCGGCTGAAGACTCCGGGAGGAAGTTGAGTCACAAAATGTTTCCTGCCTGCCCTGGCCGTGTCACCTCACTACCTCCCCCTTCCCCCTCAGGGGTCCCCCAATGAGCCCCTCTCTACCCCTCTCTCAGGAGTTGGATTCCGGCAACGTACAAGTAAAGTTGCTGCGTCAGAGGCCGCCATTGATGGAGAAATTGAATCTTATCAAGAAAAAAACACGGAGGCGGGTTGGGTAATGGCTGAGGAGGTGACAAGAGTTTCCTTGAGAAAGAGGAAGCGTATTCTGAACTTCCTGTTACAGCGTTGTTAGGAAACTTTTTCTTCTTAATGTCAACAGAAATTCCAACAGAAACAGAATCAACAGACAGAAGACATCGAATGTGACAAGATCAGCAATTCCCAAGAATTGCAGTCTATCCAATCACTAGAGACCGGTGACATCACTGAGAATGCAGCCTATCCAATCACTAGAGACCGGTGACATCACTGAGAATGCAGCCTATCCAATCACTAGAGACCGGTGACATAAATGACAATGCAGCCTATCCATTCACTAGAGAGCGGTGACATCACTAAACCAGAGTGAAGCCATTTTGTCCTCCCTTATTGCTCCGGAATAGCGATTTGGGCAACAAAATGTCTCCGTCTGTGATTTACATTTCATGACGATATAATTGATATAATTCACGTCGGTAATAAAAGTGTTAATTAGAATGCTGAACCAGCTACACCACAGGCATGTTCTGGTGACAGCAAAGACGGTAATTACATTATTATTAGCCGGCCTGCCATTCAAATCTCCAGTAATTATTCCGGCTCCAACATCCTGCACAACATCCTGCTGATTAGCCGGGAGAGAGATGAGAATTTACAGACACCGTCCGGGCGCAATCGCCGTCTGATACCGCTCAGCGCTGCTCGTGTCACTTGGCACCTGAACCTCTCTCTGAGACATTGCATGAGGAGCAATGCGACTCGCACCTCTTATGGGAAGGAGGAGGGCGAAGAAAATAATAAAAATGGCAGAAAATGCACCTAAAAATGCGCGTTCCAAGGCCGATCCCCATCTCATCCCTCACAAATCTTGCGACGGCCGCCATTTTTTTCACGGCGGTCATTACCCTCAATCTGCCGTCCTTCAAAACGTCCCTGGCCCTAGCGAACATCCTGATAAATAAAAAGGTGGAAGCGGATCTGCGTCAGGAAGCCGAGTCAGTCCCTGCCGGGTTAGGTTGTGACTGGGAGGAGTCGCAGGCCTCTAATGTCAACCCCCAGGGAACGCTTCACCTGGCGACGCATCAGCTGGGGGCGGCCTGCGGGGAATACGCACATAAAACCGGCGTACATACATCGTCGGGTAGAGACTGATCACACGGAAGGTACCGGATGCACGCATGGCGCAAAGCCGCCCAATTCCATTAGAGGGATGGTCCAAAAAAAAAAAAGATGGTGCGGAATGATTTCACTTTAATCTGATATTTTATTGCGTTGTTTCATCGGAAATTTCCCAACCCCCCAAAATGGATTTAAAAAGCTTCATTTTAACCTATTGTTGTATGTATCAAATGGATCAAAGCTGCAGCAAGATGCCGTTTTCAATGCTTTAACATTCATAACCTCAGATCCTCAGATCAGCCCCCCTGCCTCCCCAGAATGGAGACCACACATCAGCTCCTGTATCATCAAGAGCCCACATTAGCCCCCCCC